CCGCGCCCCCCGCCGCCCTTCCTGCCGCCCCGTTAGCCCCGTAAAGCCCGGGTGTAGAGAGCGCGCTTTTAAACGTGGGTTGTGAAGTGGAATTAAAAGCCTGGGTTGCCAAACAGCCAAGCAAACGTCTTCGCTTTCTTTCCTCTTTTGTTGTACATAAACGTTTCCTCTTTCAAGACTGTGTGTGTATGTTGGTTTCCTTTTCCTGGGTGCTGCCCAGTGCGTGGATCAGCACGAGACCTTTCTGCTGCTGTGTACCTTTTTTTTTTTTTTTTTTTTTAGTATTTCACTGATGCACTAACAGTACAAATCAGGTGCTTATCCTGCGGGGCCTAACTGGACACTTTGCTAGTCATGGGTCACCTCATCACTCGATGCTTTTAGAACACCTTAAACTGCATAAAAAGGTAGGTCCTCTTCCTTTTTTTTCCTTCCTGCTTAATAAAAATGCATGTGTTTTCCGGTATTCTTCCTTGCTTTCTCTACTGGAAGCAAGCATCCTGGATGATTTGTAATGAAGCTTAGGCTTAGGGTGGCTGCTTTCTCAAGAGCTGGCATGTTTCGCTTTGCCAGTGAGTGGGTGATAAATCCACAGAGTGTGTGTTGGCAGGGTTGCATCGTGTTGCTGCTAAGCCTTAACCAAGCAAGCTACATCACTTAAAGCAACGCTGAATATCTTACTAAAATATTATTTGAATCAGCAATGGGCAGTGCTGTGTTAGTGCTGACTGACTAGAAATCGTATGATTGGCATTGCAGGTCAAGAAAACATGGAAGCCACTAATGTTGGAAAGAAAGAAGTCCCCAGAGATCCAGATCACTGTGATATCCCGTACTACGTTTCGGAATTTGTGGAAAGGGAAGTTGGGACTGACTATGATTCTCTGAGGAAGCTGGACGGCCTTATCGATAAGCTTTCCGAAAATAAAAGGCAGTTGGAAGAACAGGTAAATGTGTCCTCAGATTTTCATGGAAACGCTAGATATGTTGAATAATGTATTAATTGTATTTAAATAAATTGAGGCAATTTATTAATAGTCCATGTGATACTTCCCTGTATAATGATTTTATGTAATTTTGTGCTAACCACTTCTTTATAAATATAGGTACTTACGGTTTCATCAGAAGTCCCTAAAAGAATCCAGAATGCTTTACAGAATGCAGAAGATTCGAAGAAGTCCCTTGCTCAGCTTTTGGAGGAAGAAACTCTTCTGTCCAGGTTAATCAGTGACCACTTACAGAAAGCTCAGCCTTGGATGGAGGATCTTGATCTACTGATTGGTCAAGTAGAAGAGATTGAACGACACCTTTCTTACCTTAAATGGATATCACGAATAGAAGAATTAAGGTAAAATTGTAAGACCTTTAAGAAATTCTTAATAGTGCTATTACAGAATTGTTTTCAAGGCTGCATTGTTAAATAAGATTTGATAAATGCATAGGAACTGTAGCTCATGTTTATTGCAATTGATTGATTAATTTAGTCAGGAGACTTAGAGATTATTGCCCTGTTTTCTGTCAAGTTTAAGAAAGGTAACCACTTCTTATGTGAGAAAGATGAAAAAAATATTTTTATTTTTTTCCAGTCACTGCAAATTACAATATGTTAATTAAAGTAATATCTGGGCATTTTGAGAAGAAACGTGATGTTTCAGACTTTACACTGCTAATTTTTTGTTTAGTGCACAGATCTTTTCTTAGTGTAAATGAGCAGTGTCATGTTAATTCATCTACAGCTTCTTCCATGGAGAAATTTTTGTAGTGTATACAAAGAGTTTCAGAAATGAAAAAGCATTATTGGCTAAAATTTTATAGAGACAAACTTCAGGTGAAAAGTATTATTCACAAAACTATGGAGATGCCTTAGGCAGGTCTGCTGCTTTGTGAAATTTGTTTTCAGCATTGTTCTTGGAAGTGAGTGGAAAAGCTTATTTAAAATGACTACTTCAAGAAGCTCTGCCTTCCTCCTTTTAGAATCATAGAAACATTATGGTTGGAAAAGACCTTCAAGATCATTGAGTCTCTCTTCCACTCCTTTTCCTCAACAGTTTAATTCTCTGTGACAGACTCTTTACTTTTGAGAGAGCTTCAAATAAGCAGTTGGATCCATTAATCATGTCTGGGTGCTGTGTATATCTGCGCAGAACAGTAACGTGATTTATCTCATTAAAATATTCTAGATTAGGCTTTTTTATCTGCATTTATTAATATATAGATGATATGTTTGCATATGTGACCTTTAAGCTTCAATTGCATTTCATAGTGATAACATTCAGCAATACCTGATGACCAACAATGTTCCCGAGGCAGCCAGTACTTTAGCATTCATGGCGGAACTGGATATTACACTTCAGGAGTCAACTTGTTCTCATCTTCTTTCTTTTGTGAGATCCACTGTTAAATTCTGGCATAAAATTCTTAAGGACAAGTTGTCAAGGTAAGGGGTGCACCGTTACTCTGTGAGCTTTGCACTGCACCACAAGCTCGTGTTGAAGTGCATGTTCTGTGTTGCAGTGACTTCGAAGAGGTGCTAACCCAGCTTCGATGGCCCTTTGTGGGGCCACCACAGACTCAGGCATTTGGCCTTTCTGCACCTGCCAGTGCTCCTGATGTATACAATAATTTGGAGACATTGTTTTGTCAGCTTTTGAAATTACAAACCTCGTATCCTTTTGAGTAGTTGGTTATTTTAGTAGGATAATAAAAGTCAGGAGTGCACATTCTGAAGGAAAAGGTTGTATGTTCTGCATAAGGCACAGCTGGCTGCTTTTCCTTTCGTGGGCATTAAGCAACGCGTAGCGGGACGCAAGGACCCGGCATAGAGCTGGCGTGTGTGCACAGTGCTCGTGCTGGGAATCAGCCCTAAGCCCTTTGAGATGCTCCATCTGAGAAGGCACAGAGAGGGATCTAGGGATACTTCTCTCGTAGACCTTACAAAAAGGGGAGGCCACAAAAGGATTTTCAGAAATTCCAAAACGTGCTGTTGCTCATCCTGCTGCCTTTGTTTCTAAATGAATAAAGGAAAACTAAACAATTTTCATTAGAGAGATTGTACCTTTTTAATGCTTTATCCTTAACTGCAGTTTTGGTCTGTCAGTTTGGGTCACCTAAATCAGTTTTTTGTCACCTAAATCAGATGTTATCACCTAAATCAGCTCTTGAAAACAAGAAATCATGTGTTGTATTTCTTAATTGCATGAGTTTTGGTCCTCCCATAAGAAATATGAATATGCACGTGTCTTGGGCAGCCATGTTGTTGCTACCTCTACTCCTCCAATGATAATTGGTTTTTATAAATCAAATTCAGTAACTTGCTAACTGCTGAATACTTAATCCTTAGCAGGCAGAGTTATATAATATTTAAACTGGAATATTGAGGGTTTTTTTTTTTTTGTATTCTGAGGCTATCATAGCTTGTATAAAGTGCCTTAAGTCAACTGGTTAAAACTAAGAAATGTTCATTTTTATAAATCCATTTTAATGAATTATGATGTTGGGAGAATTCAACACTTGCATAGTCTATTAATAAGTTTTTTTTATCCTTGACCTTCAAACTTAGAGATGAACTATTAACCAAACCTAAACAGTTGCCAGAAAAGTACTCTCTGCCTCCATCACCACCTATTATCCTTCCAATGCAGATCATGCTGAATCCTCTTCAGAAACGGTTCAAGTATCACTTCACTGGAAATAAACAAACCAATGTTTTAAACAAGGTATAGGAGGCTTGCTTTATTGTTTTCAATTTTGGTTTTAGTAGCAGATACATTGCTGCATTTAAATTAGATAGTTAACAGTATTTTTCCCCTGAAATGAAGGTTCTTAAAAACTGCAAGTATGGACAGACATAATACAAAACTTTTTCATTTGACATGAAACTAGAGATTTACCTGTTGGAAAGGGGCTTAATTTTTCTGTGTGTGCGTGTGTGAGTGAATTATGATCAAAGATTTAAGTATTCACCTGAGAATTGTCATTCAGGCAGGCTCCCTACATGTAAAACACGTTGCTGTAATGCATCTGCAGCTGAGTTTGAGAGACGTTTTAGAAGAGTTTAGCAACAAGTTTTTGTGCTTGGATTGACCACCTTGGGTAAATAAAAATACTTGTGGTCTGAGAGTTGCACCCTTAGTGATGTTATGCATATTGGTGTGGAAGCAGTCACTGTGTTAAGTTCATAAGGTTTTATAGACATTTGAGCAAAGTGTTCCTACAGGCCAACTGGGAAAATTCCTAGAGATTTGTCCGTGAGATGTGTAACTGTTCTTTAAAAGGCTTATGAAGAAAAAATGCAGGTTATTCTAAGGAGCATGTCCTTTTTGCTGTACCTATGACAAAAAACTTGCAGAACAGAATGGGAGCAAATGTACAAGAAAGTAAAGAAGACCTCATGAGTGAAAAAACAAAAGGGAAGGGAGAGATGAAAATTTGGTGTTTTTAGTTGAAGAAACAAAATAATTAGTTAACTCAAGATAGTTCAGTTGCACAAGTGCTTCTCTGATGTTGCTTTTTTCTTGCAAATACCATGCAGGTATCTTATGATCAGAGATCAGGAGAAAGCAGAGAAGGGATGTTTGTCTTTGAAATATTAAGATAATCTATTAGGACAAAACAAACAAACATACTAGTTTCTCTATGAAGTGTGTATACAGTTCTATTCCGTTTACTTTCCACCCCTCCTCTCCCCCCGCCAAAAAAAAAAGCTCTGAGGGAAAAAACTACCAAGCCTGCCCTTTTGTGTCGCTGTTGCATGGAGGGGAAAAGAAAGCTGAGAAAAGTCAAAATTAAAGCTAGTTCCCTGCCTTCCTCTGGCCTAAGTGTTTGTATTCTGAATACTTCTTTAAAACTCTCAAGTGCTGGTTTTGGAAACTCTTCATGTCTGTGGCAGTTATAGCATGTCAGAATCCATCAGCAAAATGGATAACTTCCATTTTTAGTAAGTCTTGCATGAGTAATAAGCAATAGATTTTTGAATTTCTATGTCTAAACTCTAATTTTAAAATGTTTCATGATAGGTAACACATTAAATGAATGCATAGATATATCACTTGGATAAATGTTGTTTGGATGGGTTTAATACTTATTATTTTTTTCTTTTACTAGCCTGAGTGGTACTTAACACAAGTGCTTATGTGGATTGGAAATCACGCGCAGTTCCTTGATGACAAAATCCAGCCCATCTTGGACAAGGCCGGATCTTCAGTGAATGCTGGGGTGAGCAGATCTGTGGCTTAAGCTGCGTCACAGATTTGTCACCTTCCAGGAGATACTTGTGCCAAGCTCCCTTTTACTGATTTCCCTCAATAAGTGGTTGCACTGGGTCTAGCAGCAGTTTTAAAGCTATCTACATGATAAAACTTACTTCTTTTTTTCTTTTTTCTTTTAAAAGCTTGAATTCTCTCGTGGCCTAGTAATGCTGATCTTGGAGAAGTTGGCTGCTGATATTCCATGCCTTTTGTATGATGATACTCTCTTCTCTCACCTCGTGGATGAGGTGCTTCTATTTGAGAGAGAGCTCTACAGTGTTCACGGTTATCTCAGCAGCTTTCCCAGTTGCATGCATATTCTCTCAGAAGAATCCTGCTTCCAAAGGTGGCTAACAGTGGAAAAAAAATGTGAGTGGATTTTGTTGGCATTTATTTATACGTGTTTTATTTCCAATTAAGTAATGTTTACTTAAAATAATCCCCTTAATTAGGGGAGTAAGGATACTATGTAAAGCTCTTTCTTTTTTATATTCTAGAACTATTTTGTCTAAAAAGTTGTTAGGATTCTGATCGTACTTCTGTAATTTGTAAGGCTATTGGCCCTAAGATGTATGTGATTTAGTAGATCTTCTTTTAGATGGTGATATATTTGTGTTTGCAGAAAAATGATGGGCATTTCTATTTAATTAGGAAGGATATTAAATTTCCTCTTCTCGGAAGTTATTGGAAAGGACCAAAACAACTATCGAGGAAACTCAATTCTTGACATAGTTGTTAACAGAATCACAGATGCAGAAATACTGAACTTCTGTACAAAGCCCATCATCAACTGGTTTCATACTCTGAAAGTGTAAATTTACATCTTATTAGAGATAAAGCTTTTATATTTTTACGTTCTTGTGCATATTCTTGTATTTTTGTTAGGAAATTACTTATTAAACTTGTAAAGAATTGTCAACTTTTTGTCTGTCTCAGTTGCTCTTCAGAAAATGGACTCTATGCTTTCATCTGAGGCCGCGTGGATATCGCAGTATAAAGATATCACCGATGTAGATGAAATGAAAGTCCCAGACTGTGCTGAAACTTTTATGACTCTGCTGTTGGTTATAACAGGTACTTATTAAGCTGTAGACATTCATCTTGTTTGAAATGAATAATAGAAGAAAAATATTGTAACTTAATAGTGTG